GTGCGTGTGTGTGTGTGTGTGTGTGTGCGCGAGTGCAAGTGCGTGTGCGAGTGCGTGTGCGTGTGTGTGTGTGTGTGTGTGTGTGAACACTGCTCACACTCTGGATCTCCTCAGGTTCTGGAGGAGGAGCGTCTGGCTCAGAATGCGGATCTGATGGGTCAGGTTCTCCGCGCTGAGCTCAGCAAGCTTCCGCTGGAGATCGTGAGCGGCGTCCGCGGGAAAGGCCTCCTGAACGCCATCATCATCAAAGAGACCAAAGGTCAGAACCAGAACCGCCACAAAACCACCGTCCGTTCAAACCAGTCTACAGCTTCAGATCCACATCAGTGAAACCTCTGGTTCATCTTCACGGCTTCACCCTTGATGTGAAAGTGTTAAGTGTAATTAAGGCTGATACATGCAGAATGAATTCTGGGTAGAAGGTGAACATCTAGAGTCGCTCGTCCAGTTAAACGGCGTGATCATTGAGCTGAAGGTGGAGCACGGATGATCTGAGGAACGTGGGCGAGTTCAGCTCTGTGTTTGGGTTAAAAACATAGTCAGAAGATCAGGCTTCAGCGAGCATTTTCATTTTTCACTCTTACTTACAACATCAAGCTTTTGTGAAAATGTGTGTATTTTTATAGCAAAGCAGGTGTTTCAGCTGCTGTAACCTGACAGTGTTTCTTTTGACAGTTAATGACAAGTATATGCTTTAAAGTAAAAAATATTTTAAAATACACAGTTACACAAGAATGACAGAAATATTTTCAGAAGTATTTTATTGTGCCTATCGGCAGGTTTTCCATTCTTTTGACTGATTTATTCTGGCCATTATGCTGTCATACTGCTGTGCATTAAAGCAATAGTTCATCTTAAACAAGAGTTCATGAAAATATCCTCACTCTCAGTTCATCCCAGATCAGGATGAGTGTGTTTCTTCATCAGATTTGGAGAAATGTAGCATTGCATCAGTGTCTCAGCAATGGATGCTCTGCAGTGAATGGGTGCCGTCAGAATGAGAGTCCAAACAGCTGATAAAAACATCACAGTAATCCACAAGTAATCCACAGCACTCCAGTCCATCAGTTAACATCTGGAGAAGACAAAAGCTGAAACAAATCCAGCATTAAGACGTTTATAACTAAAATACATTATAATCCATAATAACTCTTCCTCCAGTGAAAAAGTGCATCTGCTGTTGTCTCTCACATCACAATCCAGCCACATATTTGTTTAGAGCTGTTTAAACGCTGCTTGATCTGTGCAGATTTCTCTCCTGATTCACACCAGAACACTTTTTCACTGGAGGAAGCGTTATTATGGATTACCGGTATGTTTTTTTTTTATTGAGTTAAAAACGTCTTAATGCTGGGTTTGTTTCAGCTTTTGTCTTCTCCAGATGTTAACTGATGGACTGGAGTGCTGTGGATTATTGTGATGTTTTTATCAGCTGTTTGGACTCTCATTCTGACGGCACCCATTCACTGCAGAGCATCCATTGCTGAGACACTGATGCAATGCTACATTTCTACAAACCTGATGAAGAAACAAACAAATTTACATCCTGATAGCAGCGTTCACACGGATCCTCAAGAGATTCAGTCAACAATGGCAGTTTGAACAGATCATTGTATGTTAGTAGTGGAGATCCGTGTTTTTGTGCAGGTGAATGATCTGATGTGTGTGTGTGTGTGTGTGTGTGAGAGAGAGAGATAATCCGTTTCTAATCCTCTGATCTCTCTCAGACTATGACGCCTGGAAGGTGTGTCTCCGTCTCCGTGACAACGGTCTGTTGGCCAAACCCACTCATGGTGACATCATCAGGCTAGCCCCGCCCCTCATTATAAAGGAGGATGAGGTCAGAGAATGTGTGGACATCATCAGCAGGACCATTCTGTCCTTCTAAACCACTGGAATCATCATCATCTGAGTGATTTTCACCTGTAATTCTTCAGATTTTAGCCTGGTTTATGTTTTTCATGAGCTGTTACAGTCATTCAGGTCAACACCGAGCCTGCTCGACACTCATGGGGATTTTTAGCGCTTTCAGAATTATGCTTGTTTAGTTTTTTTCATTCTCAACTGAGCTTGAGAGTCTTGAATAGTAGTTTCTCTCTGGATGAAGGTCTGTTTTAGTTCTGATGAAGTGTCATGGACGCTGTGACGTTTACAGTTTCTTTCCTTCAGAGGAAGATGAACGAAGGTCACTGTCACAGTGTTTGAAACATGTTTAAAAGTTTGACTAGAACTGAGTTTTTCTCCCTGTGATGAGAGAATAGTGCACTTTAACCGCAGTCATTGATCAATCTGATTATTCAAAGCCACATTCTGCTGCGCTTATTAATACTTACTATTAATGAGAAATGGAACTTTGGGAAAACTGCATTTCAAAAGGAGAGACTGTTTAGGAACGGAGTGTGTTGTAGAATGTTTAATTAGCGTTTAACGAATGGAGCGTCTGCTCGCACATCAGATGAGGTTTTATTTCTGTTCTTAAATAAATCTTCAGTCAGCTGAGAGACTTTGTGTTTGTTTAACATCTGATTTAATGAGTTTGATGTGTTTTAGAAAAGTTGAATTGGTGTTTTGTAGACGAACGTTTAGTTGGTGGTTCATTCCTATTATGCAGCACATTTTCACCAGTTTCACACTCCGGCATCTTAATAAATCCGGATTACAGCTGCTCCGAATGACACTACATATCAAATACAGGCTACTAGTTACAGAAATAACAACAGCTAGAACAGAACTGGGTCATTTGGATGTGTTTATCTGAAGAGACAGAAACAAAACAAACATCTTCACTGTAACAGTGAAAAGTAACACTGTAACTGTTCGGTGTAACAGTTAAACGAATCAGATGCAAAATATAAATGTCTATATATATATACCGCATGATACAAATGTTGTGTTCTTCTGGGATCAGGATAATCCAGTTTTTCTGGATCAAAGGAATCCCAAACCTTCCACAAAGGTTTGATGCAGATCCAGACTGGATTACACGAGCTGATCCGATTTCAGAATCCTTTTCGAGATTTGATCCAGATTTCTTCTGAATAACTGGCAGAATGCCACACTGCAGGAGGAACCGGATCCACATCTGGAGACCAGAAGATCACTGAGATCTCCAGCTGATGGCGCTGTAAACACAGAGAATTAATACATTTTTCAGCAACAGAAAAGGGCAACATAGGCCGAATATGTGCAATATTTCTAAGATGAAAAAGGAGGTCTTTACCGTGTTCTGTACAAAAGGCTGGAATGACAGGGTGGCGTCAAAGATAACACCAAGCTTTTTTAGTTTACTGTGTAGCTCTAGGGCAACACCATCAACTGATAGATCTACAGAAGCAGCATTTCGCAGTTGGTGGGGAGAGCTAAGAAGCATAACTTCAGTTTTAGAGCTATTCAGACAGAACATTTTTAGACATCCACAACTTAATCTCAGAAATACCGTTGGAAAGATGAGGGACATCCAGAAATTGACCAGGTTGAGAATGTAAATAAATCTGAGTATCATCAGCATAGAAGTGGTAGCTGAGGTTAAGGGATCTTAATTGCTGACCAAGAGGATAAATATAAATGCTAAAAAGCAGGGGACCAAGGACTGAGCCCTGTGGGACACCAGTACAAACAGGATCCACATCATGATGGTTATGATTTATGAAGGAAAACAGGCTGGTTTATGTGACACTATATGAAACACTCGTTTAGTAGCTGGTTTTCATCAGATGTGCTCTGATGAAGCTGGTTCCATGTGAACTCGCTGTAGCCACAGGATGTTTGTCTCTGAACAGGAAACCATGTGACTGGCTAGAGGAAGTAATTTGAGCTAAATGTTTCTGATGGATGCACTGGAACGTTTTGGAGCGTGAGGTTCTGTTTCATTACATCGAACACACAGAATACGACTAATGAAACTCACAACATACAGCACATCCGTAAACTGTAAAGTAGTGTGAAAAGTGATCAGCTTCATCTGTTCACGAGTGAAAGCTTGTGCAGCGGGTCATCTGAAGGTCAAAGGTCAGCTGGTGTCAGTCACATGACATTTGTAGCCGTCTCTTTTATCGTACAGAATCCAGAGTTTATTCTCTGTGTTCTGAAATCATTTGAATTAAAGTTCAGGGTGAATCTGCATTTCATCATGTTCACAGCTGGTGAACGAGTCCAACGGGTTTGATTCCACCTTCATTAAGTTCGGATGTAAATCGTGGCTAATTGGTGCAAATATGGTTCAGTGATTGAGGCTCATTAACATCATCACATCAAGGTCAGACACTAAACACAAAGAAACAATGAAGCTCACATGCATTATAGAAATGAGTGCTTAAATGTCATTGTGAGCTAATTCCACTTCCTGTGTGACGCGGCTGATTCACTTCAGATTCACACTGATGACCAACTGCTTTGATGCTGCGTGATGGTGACAGACAGATGCTGTCGCCATGGAAACTGTGCAGCTGCTTGGATCACGTGACATCAGTCTCATGCGGCCTTGAGCTGCTCAAGCGCTCACTAGTGTTCACTATCAAGTGAACTAGAGAGCTCAACATCTTCATCAGAACATAAAGCACAGCAACATGATGTCTGATTTTACTTCAGTACGACAAAGAACACAACATTAAATGATGCAAACGTGATGTAATCGTTAGGATAGAGATATAATAGACTGATCAGCATTCATAAGGAAGGAGACACTTGTTGAGGTCAGTGGTATTTTAGTCATGTTATAATTATAATGTCTAAAATGTGTTTGTTTGATAAATCACTTCTGTGTTGTACAACATGATCAGTTTTTCTATTCAGTCCATGTCATGTTCATAATTTTGCATATTGTAAGTTAATGGTAAGATTAGTAAATAATAATGTGTGAAGGTCACATTTATTGACATAAAATGATAGAATTGTTTATTATGGTTCATCTGCTGTGGTTATTGTTGAATGTTATCAGTCCTGGATTTCTGCTTGTGTTATTGATGTGTAAATGTAAATATGAAGTTTGTCGTGATTGACAGGTGAGCTGTGGCTCCGCCCCCTCTGCGAGTCGACCAATGAGCGCGCGGCAGCGGACACACACACACACACACACACACACACACACACACACACAGCTGATCGTCTCCGGAGGAGGAAAGTTTCTTCAGCATCGGATTATGACGGTGAGTGATGGATCGACTGATGGATGGATGGGTGTGTGAGCTGATGTTGATTCTGCGCCTGAAGTTTATGTGAAACACAGTAAATCAGCGGTTTATCAGCAGAAATGAATCCGTTATTTGTGACGCTGAGTTCGATCCGATCTTAAAGTTGACTTCTTGAAGGTTCAGAAGATTATTTAAATCAGCACAAAATATTGAATGAATATATGGTCAACCCAAACATATGTGCCGCTTCTTCCCTGAGAAGTGATGCAGTGTTCAGTAACTCCAGGACTTTATATTTGAGTGCTTTCTGTCTGTTCGGAGTCCTGTACAGAGCAGATTCAGGAGAGACCCAGTGTGTGTGTCACAGTTCTGTTCGTTTCTCTCTCTCGACTCCGTCTTCAGTTCAGGTGTGTCTAGTCATTATTCTAGTTCCTTCTGTTCAGTGCGAGTTTGTCGGATCTCGTCGATGTTGTGGATTAATGTGAAGACTGTTTATCTTCATCTTCGTCCTCTCTGTGTGTTTACAGCAGTTAGCAGGTTTGATCACAAACACTCCCTCTGCTTGCTCTTTAAAAATGACTGACATTAATTTAGCGGAGTGTTTATTTACACTAAGTGCAAATAGGCCGCCTTGTTGACAGAGGCTATTTACACTAACTTCGCCCACCAACGTCTGATTGGGTTAGTCGACTGTGAAAAAACAAAGCCGCTCGTCAAGTTTCAGTGGCGTTGATGGTGAGGCGCGTGCTTTCCGACGCGATCGACCCGAGTTCGAACCCTCCTTTGTTTTGCCGAACTTTTTTTTTCCTCCCTTTTCAAATCTCATATCGCATCGGAAAGGCATTTGTTTTCAATAAAAATTAAGGAAATAATCAAAAAGCTGAATATAAAGTATCGGGTAGGGCTTTATTGTCCCAATAAGGTGGCATCCATTTAATAATTTGAATTAAGATTATAATTTACACTCAATACATTATTATTGCATACTGTTTTATAATGTACTATAATACTGAGGTGCAGATAATTGCCACTATTTGCAATAAGTAGTATAAATAGCAGAAAATCTTGCTGTTTTAACATAGTGTAAACAGCCGCTGCCTTAATTTAGTGATCAGATTTAACATCCTTATATGATCATATTTTGTAATGATCATTTAAATCTGACTCATTTTCAAACTGTTTGTCTTAAATCAACATCTCAGGAAAATGTTATGGGGTTTCAAATAAAAATATGACTTTCTGTGATGAAGCAGGACATTGATTTCATTCGTGTCTTCCGTAGTGTGGATTAATAACGTGTTTATTAGGCATTCTGGGAGAATAGGGAAAGAAATTATGTTTCAATATTCCTATGAAATATTAGATATTATTATTGTGAAAATCTTGCCATTATTACACTTCTTTTTTCATTACGTTGGCCCAAAAACACATTCATATGCAAATGAGATACAGTGTATATAATGGGAAAACCCGTTTACACATTACACAAAGCAAAATGGTATCAAATCATCCTGTTAGATCTTTCATAACATAATTGAGAATCATCTTTATATAAAGTTTGGTATCAATTTTTTTTTTAATTGATTGGTGATTTTTTTTAAATCCCACTGTTTTTGCCTTTTCATGTCTGTTCATTTCTTTTAATTAATAAAAAAGAAAAATAAAAAACGACTTTTTAAAGTGTCCTCTGCAGAGGACATAACATATCATTTTTCAAAAATGTTATTCTTATGCTAAATTTGATAAATTGTCGTAGTGCATTAATAAATCTGGTCAAAGGTTAGATCAGATGCAGAGCAGCCGTAGGAATCAGACGTGACGTGTGTTTGTCATTTAATGCTTCAGTTCTTCAGAGAGCAACTTTTATTTAGAGACTAACGCTGTTCTGGAAATGTCAGATCAGTGGAGTGTTTTCTAGAGGACGCCAGTCTGATGGTTTGTGTCTGCGGTTCATACGCTGCATTAATAACACATGCAGAGACGGTCGCTTCTCTGTCTGTTGAGTCCAGCAGCGGCGGTGTGGAAATGTTTATCGGTCGTTTGAGCCGAGCGCAGGCTTAAATACTGATTCACAGACGCACGGCGTGACTTCTTCTCTTTTACTGCACTTATCTGATTGATTCTGTACCTGCTGTGATGAAACTCCTTCTTACCATGATTTACCGTCTTTACACTTCAGAGGCTCTGATCATTTTCATCGGTCTTGCATGTTGCTTTATAGCCTCACATGAATTCCTGTGTAAATGCATTTATTTTTAGACACCTGGATTATCCACATTTCACACGACAAACACCCGGCCCCGTCTGATCTCATGTTTTGGATGCTCTGGATCCTCGAGCTCTGCATTTGGTCTCTTCTGTGCTTCAGTAACTCCGGCTGATATCTGTGCTCCTGTAATCGTGTTGTAGTTGAATCCGTGCGACTGCGAGCTGTGAATGCGAGTGAATCTGAATCCTGTGAATCTTCAGCTGAATGGTGCTGAGTTCAGTGTGAATCAAACGCTTCATCACAGATGCTTGGGCGATGTTTTCTGTCTGTGTTTGTTAATGGAGTTTGAATGGAGTCTGTTTCATCTGAGTGGTTAATAGAGCTTCATCATCATCATCATCTTCACTGTGGCTGCTGAATAAACCATCAGCAGTGATGAGAGGCGTTTAATGCTCATCAATAATTAATGAGCTCCTCTGAATAATTCATGGGGTCTGTTCCCCGTCACACGCTCAGACTCACTGCACTGTGTAGTGTGTAGTGTGGAGAACAGAATTCAGTTAGTCTTCACTCTGATCTGATAGTCACCGTGTCTCTGGGATCCGCATCACTGCCTGTTCCTGATAAAGTGTCTGGTCATTTCCTGTTGGATTTCCATGTAAACAGACAGTCAGAGCCGCGAGATACAGATTTATAATGTTGATCTCTTCTACAGAGTCAAGATGAAATGCTTTTGCAGCCCATAATGTGATGTATTTCGTGTCCTGAACATGTGTAGTGTTATTCCGTTAATGCAAGCTGAATCACCTGATTATGAGTTAGTCATAATAATAACAGCTGATTGCTGTGTTTAAATAGTGGGAGAGAATATTCCTGTGTGTGTGTGTGTGTGTGTGTGTGTGTGTGTGTGTCAGTGGTGAGTGTGTGTGTGTCAGTGGTGAGTGTGTGTGTGT